CAGTTGCAGCAGCCTCAGGACTGGGGATAGCGAGCCATCATCACCACCGCTCACCTCCACCGGGTCAGCAGGCAGCGCCCAGAGCCGACCCCTCCTCACCGTCAGCTTCCCGAGCACCACCGCGTGGGTCGCCTGTAGCTTGAGAGTCAGCACCCCCGCTCCTCCTCTCCATGTGTTCAGCGGCGCTCAGGGCTCGGTCCTGCTTCGGGTGCCCGCTGGTTCCGTCCCAACCGAGCTCCTTCTCCGATAACCACTCTTCGCCCCTGATTGCATTGTGCTGAGAGCTGATTGGCTGCGTGGTCCATTTGATCATAGAGCGATATTTATCAAGGGTGTGCAAAAGTGATTGGCACCCCTTAACATTGGAGAAAACTGATTTATCAAACTATTAAAACTTCACATACAATATTACTTGTGCACTTGGATTGATAAGTACCTCTGCGTAGGTTTCCTTTTCTCATTTCCAAACTTTAAAAAACATATCCCTATAGAAAGACAAACAAACCCTCATCAACTAACTTCTGCTGGAGGCATCTTTAAGATTTCAGAAAAAGTTGTTCTATTTTGAGGTCTTCACAATAGCCCCCAAAAAGGTGCCTTGCCCTCTCCAGGTGGGTGGAGAGGTCCTTCCTCAAGTGGAGGAGTTCAAGTATCTCGGGGTCTTGTTCACGAGTGAGGGAAGGATGGAGCGTGAGATTGACAGGCGGATCGGTGCAGCGTGCGCAGTGATGCGGTCGCTGTATCGGACCGTCGTGGTGAAGAGGGAGCTGAGCCGAAAGGCAAAGCTCTCAATTTACCTGTCAATCTTCGTTCCCTCCCTCACCTATGGTCATGAGCTTTGGGTAATGACCGAAAGAACGAGATCGCGGATACAAGCGGTCGAAATGAGCTTCCTCTGCAGAGTGGCTGGGCGCTCCCTTAGAGATAGGGTGAGGATCTCAGTCACACGGGAGGAGCTCGGAGTAGAGCCGCTGCTTCTCCACGTCGAGAGGAACCAGTTGAGGTGGCTCGGGCATCTGTTCAGGATGCCTCCTGGACGCCTCCCTGGGGAGGTGTTCCGGGCACGTCCCACCGGGAGGAGGCCCCGGGGAAGACCCAGGACACGCTGGAGGGACTATGTCTCTCAGCTGGCCTGGGAACGCCTTGGGGTCCCCCCGGACGAGCTGGAGGAGGTGAGTGTGGATAGGGAAGTCTGGGCGTCTCTGCTTAGACTGCTGCCCCCGCGACCCGGCAACGGATAAAGCGGAAGAAAATGGATGGATGGATGGACAATAGCCCCCATTGTCTGTTAATTTCTTAGTCTCCATAATGTGATGTCATCATAGATCCTACATTATTTTTTTTTACTTTCCATCACAAACAGAATCTTGATCGTAGCAAAACTGTCATGTGTTATCTCAGTAAACACACTCCGATATTCCGATTTGGTTCCGGCTCAAATGTGTGTTGTTTGCGTAGCCACTGGTTTGGAAATGAATGATGCTGCAATGGATTTTTAGACCGACGGTTGTCTCCTGACGGTCCAGTGGAACTCCTCTCTGCCACATCCATCGGCTCCTGTTTGAGGTCTCTGTTTTCTCCTTGTGTTAATGAAGAGCTCAGTCAATGTCAACATGTGGAGCGTAAATGAACTAAGACAAAGTGCTCACATTGAACTGACCCTGCTTCTGTCTGCCTCAAGTGTAGTCTGCCTAAAAAGCTGACACTGCCCTTCTGAGAGTGGCCGCTGGAGCTCACCTAATAACCTCTTTTGCATTTATGGCTTTATAAACCAAGGCCGCCTCTTCAGTGGTATACATAATTCATCAATGTATACATAAGTTATGATTTTGACATCTTCTGGGTCTCCTTTCTGCGGCTTGCCAAAAAACTGTTTTCGATTATTTTGACTTGTTTTCCACTTTGCTGCATTCTGTTTTGTTACAACTCCCTCAAGGGCATATTCAGAGCTGGTTTTCTTACTAAAATGTTATTCTAATAAAAATTCCTGCTGTGACCCAATTTGCTTAACAGAGACAGATCAACAAAACAAATCTAGACACCTAACAAATAGAGACACCTCTATATAAAATGAGGAAAGTCTTTAGTTTGGATTCGATTCAACCTCCAATGGAGTTTGAAAGTTCTCCCTGTGTTTCCTCCGGGCGCTCCGGTGTCCCTTACCCCTAAGAAAAATGGACAATAGGTAATATCCTCCAGCTCCGGTAGTCCTAACCAAGCCAGAGCACATTTGATATTATTAGAGAGTTATCAATTTGCAAAGAACATAATGGAAGGAAACCTTTTCGAATTGCAGGTTTAAATGAGGACTAAAGTTAGATGGGGCAGGTCTCAGGATGTGAGACTGTGCACCTCATTAAGTACAAGAGAATCTGAAATATATGAGGTACCAGACTGTGGAGAGCTTTAAAAACAAGAAAAAGGATTTTAGTTCTGGGCCTGAATTAGAGCTAATTAATTTTTTTCGTCTTTTTTTTATTTTTTTATTTTTTTTTACAAATATTGAATGAGTTGTAAAACCTGAGGAAAAGGCATCACAATAGCCAAAACTACTTAAACACACTTAAAAGTGGGTGAGCATATTTATTGGACATGAATCAGAATGAAACAGTTTTTTAAGTGCAAAAAGGATAATTTTGTTATTATATTAAAAATACATTGAATTGAATTGAAAGTGTTGCTAAAGACAGAGCCCCGAGCATTGATGTCACCAAGGCCTCTTACAAAGTCCTTGGGCGCAAAACTGGTGACATAATATTTATTTCTTTTTCATTTAAATCCTCTTACAATATTTGCAGTTTTACAGGATTTAGCTGCAGAAATATACTGAAAAAGGGATTTAGGTAACTAGTACCACCGGGCAAAGGAGCATTAATTGCTCTTGTAGCCATAGAACAATTATTGTGAAATTAGTTGGTTTGTTTCTTTAAGAACTAAAACTGTATAGTGAGCCAGTACCGCTTTCAATTAAATGTTTCACATTGATGTGACATAAACAAAGGAGTCAAACAACCGATTCAAGTTCAGTGGATATCAGACTTTGTATTCAAAAACAGGAGCAAAATTATAATCTATGAGTGAGTGTCTGTCTATGGTCTCCATTGGATAGAATTGGAAAACATTTATTTATCCCATGTAAAACTTTGACTCAGTTTTTAGGGGGCACTAATGGGCCAAGTTCATTTTTTACTCTTGGAGGTGACTTATAGGCCCAGGAGTTAAACAACCGAGTCAAGTTTAGTGCAAATCAGACTTTGTACGTGCAAACAGAAGCACATTTATTATCTCCATATCCGTGTGTCCATATCTCACATGGGAACTTCACACCTCTATATAAAAATAACCATAATTTTGGAGTCTGCTGCGCGCAGACCGTTTGACTAATTAAATTTCTGTTGTTGACTTTTGATCCTACGTGTGTTTAGATGATGTAGAGCGATTTTCAGCCAAATTAGTGAAACAGCCGTGGCATCACTCGTTGGGAAAGCAATAGCCCATTACCCCTGTTGGGGCGTGAGCCTAATAAAAGTGGTCCGAGAAAGGAACCCTGTGGAACTCCTCACTTTAAGAACGTTATGAGACAAAAGTGGTTCGAGAGAAACCAAACACACAAGTGCTTCAGAGAGTCTGCAATTGGCTGTAACGAATGTTTAGCTTCATCCCGGAGTTCAAAATTTTCAAACTCAAATATCCAAATTTTTGAGTGCTGGGGAAAAAAAACAAATTGGATTGAGGTACGTAGATAGCAGAGGTACTTTTGCCAGTAGGTCAATATGTCTGCTTTGAGTGTTGTGACAAATGGAGAACAGCATGATCTGTTCTGTTGACTGCTGTCTCATTGGCTGCCACACTCATTATACCAGTTAGCTCTGTCAGCCAGCTGCTCTATTCCACAAGAAAAGAATCATATGTACACAACACAAACAAACAATGTGCCAATGTGAGTCTTTAAATAGGACTAGACATGATTTGGGGCCAAACAAAGCAGCTGCTGAACTCATCAACACAGAGGCTTCACGTGGTTCCTGTTCCCTGTTTTATTTGTGATTACTTCCCTGAGAACTTTCAGAGCACGCTATGGGGTTGGTTTGTCTTTTGGTCTGTTTATGATTAAGGATTTCTCTTGTGCTTGTAGTAAGGAGCGATCAAAGTCAAAAGGTCCTTCCAAGAAAGAGAAGGTTATGCAAAAATTGGGCAGGCAGAAAATGACACTAACATCTGGGTGCATTCAAGGGTTCGATGTTCCCATTTTCTACTTGTGCAATACCATAATGCTTTGTGCCTGGAGTCATAATTCATCTATCTAATGCACACAATCTAAGTATTTCATAATGAGAGGGAGTCTATACTAGCTTCCATAAACCTTCAGAGACATTTAAATTCAACAAAACCAAAGCCTAAAAAGATTTGTATCTTGTTTATTGATTTGGAAAAGTCCAACAGAAAAACACTGTTCATTTATTTGAATTGTGCAGTTCTTCAAAGGGCCAGCAGATGGCAAACTTTACTATTGTTTTAATGCATCGTAATCGCTGACACCTGTGTTTTAAAATGTTACGTGATCCTTGTGGTTCCAAACTCTTTGTAGGTTTACTTCTCGGCCTGAACTCACTTACTTTTGAAGGTTTTTGTCAACTCCACTGCCTAAAAGCATTATGGGAATTCCTTATGCAGCATGCAGCAAATAGATTTATTTTAAGTAGAGAACAACACAAAAAATCCTAGACCGCAGACCAACTTGCATTTAAGATGACATGGTTTGCACTCAGCCCATTATTTCCCCTTTCAGCTGTTTATTCTACAGCTTCACAGATTTTAGCACAACTGAAAACAACAAACACACAATCTTCCTTCTGCTAGTGGTAATACTAATGCCTTTATGGGTTTGTGTCTCCTGCTGTAGAGCCTGTTTTTAGTATATAGCGCATCAAGCAGAGGTGTGTCATGCTGAGATGAGACCGTGAAAGAGGCCCTTATTGCTGACCGCTACTGTCAAAGCCATGGTCACGGCTGCCCTCACAGTGGGCTCTGGTGAATGGGAGAGCTGAAGCATATTTGCATGATGTTGTGGAATACAGTTAGTGGGCAAATACAGCAGGTGAATGTGCGGCGTGTATTGGAGGTTAAAAATGCACTCCGAGCCTTTGGTGAACTTCAGCTGCACTCTAATGGAATCACGGATACATGTTTTAGAGCGGCCTGAAACAAACAGAATATGGCCTATTTTATTTTGCTTTTTTTGGACACTCATCAAGGCTTCGATGTCATTATTGATTCACTCCACATGTGCCATTGGCCACTCCAACCATCTCCGACTATTCATGCAAAGACCAGACTCGTAATGCTGGTGAAGTGAAATAGTGGAAATAGATGCATATAAAGACAACAGTTAACCCTTTAGGCACCAAACATGTTTGAATGTACTTTGAACCCAGGACACTTTCTAGCAACCAGGCTTCCTAGAAAAATCTCCTTAAATTTTTCTTACATGTTTTTCTATTATTACTTTTTAATCCATTTTTGTAGTCCATACCTCCTATAAAGCTTCAGGGATCCATCTTTTCACATAATATTTCTGAAAAAAACTTGCCACGAGAAATGTGGCTATATAAAAAATACAGTAGGACATGCAACCCCCTAGTGGTATATTGATCAATCCAGGTGATGAACAAATAATTATGTGGTTAACTTCAATTGAATATAGAAATAACTTCTATCACAAATGCACTGTTTTTTGGAAAATACTGTCCAGGTAGTTTTTAGCATACTAATAATGGAGTTTGGGTAACAACAAGATTATACTAATGTTGTGCTGAGAATGGATTTATCCTTATGCTGCTGCTGTGTGACTAATAATAATGTTGCCTTTGTGGCCAGAATAATTGCCTCCTGTCCTTGTCTACAACATGTTGTGTTGACTGGAGTTTTTCGCCTGCAGCAGGTGGTATCAGCCGTGCGAGCAGGAGTGAACCCTTCCGGAAACTCCGTGAACCAGACGAGCCTGTGGGACCTCAGCTCGTCCTTCTTCTTCGCCGGAACAGTGATCACAACAATCGGTGAGAAAAGTGCCCTCAGCCTCAGCACCAGTTAGTCCTGCTCCACTCAGTTCTGCCTGCACTTGTGTTGTTTGTTGTTTGGGAACTGAGCCACAGGAAATCAAACAGCTTCCCCGCCTTTTGACTTTTCCAATTCACGGGATTTATGCTGTGAAAATTGTCCGTCATTACCATAGCAATTATGCAATTCAAATCAAGATTTTACTCTTCTGATGAATGGGGGGAAATCCTCATTGCACATTACATAAATTGGTGGCTTTTGCTGCGATTGCAGATTACTTTTTTCTGTAGCAGTTAGTCTTTATTCCGCCCTGCCAACTCTTTCTCTAAAATGGGTGAAAACAGCACTTTTGTCTGTTTTTTTGTCTAAACACCACGAATCGCATAATATCCAATCGTTGGCTTTTCTTGGGGCTGCACATAAAGTTTATTCCATACCATTTGTTCACTATATTGACTTTATTCCGGCCTGCCAAGTCGTTCTTCAGTATGGGTAAAAGCAGCACTTTTGTCTCATTTCTTATTTTATTTTATTTTATTTTATCTTAAATTTATTGCCTATTATCTTAAATAATAGACTTTAATGTGTGCAATCTGAGTGCTCTTATTTCCTTTCTCTGCTGTAATGTGCAACGATGACACTGAAATTTCTCCACTGTGAGACTAATAAAGGTTTATCTTATCTTATCTTATCTTATCTTAAAACTCTTGTTGAGTAAGAACTCCTTTCATTTCTCTCAATAAACAGAAAAAACTCTTGCCAATAAACTACGGTTATAAATGTGGGGTGCATTCTGAATGGTATGTGCGTTTCCCCTCACAGAGAGCCTTTCAGAGTATCAAAAGGGAACTTGCAAAAAACACATTAAAACCCAATAATAATAATAATATTAATAATGTTGCATTGGTTTTATGTTTTTTGGACACTCAAAGAAGAAGAAGAAGAAGAAGGTCCTTTATAGACGCTTCATATGTCATTATTCTTTCACTCCATACACGGTGGTGATAAACTACTAGTGTAGCCACAGCTGCCCAGGGGCACAGCTCAAGTCCTGACTAGAACCAGGAAGTACGACCACATTAGTCCAGTCCTCAGGTCCCTGCACTGGCTTCCTGTGGCTCAGAGAATAGACTTTAAAACAGCTCTGCTTGTTACAAGTCTCTCCATGGCCTCGCACCAAAATATATTAGTGACATGTTAGTCCCATATGAACCAGCCCGGACTCTGAGGAGGACAGGGACTGGACTCCTGTTAGTGCCCAGAGTCAGAACTAAACATGGGGAGGCTGCTTTTCAGATTCATGCTGCTAAAATCTGGAACAATCTTCCTGAAGATGTGAGACAGGCCTCCTCTCTGACAATGTTTAAAACCAGGTTAAAGACAGTTCTGTTTAGCTGTGCATACAACTGAGGGATTTTATATTCTTAATTTTAATTAATTTTAATCTTTCTTTTTAATGTAATGTGATTATTTATGATTTTAATGTTATCTTTTTTTTTCAGCACTTTGAATTGCCTTTTGTATGAATTGTGCTATACAAATAAACTTGCCTGGCCTTGCCTAGCACACTGACAGAAGCGAGGCAACCAGTATGTGCCATCGGCCCCCCCGACCGCCACCGACTACACACACACACACACACACACACGCACACACACACACACACACACACACACACACACACGTCACACTTGCCAAAAAGATGGTGGAAGCCTGTATGGCATCGATGGACACTGGTCATCTGCATTAGCTCATCACCAATGGCTCTATGTGTTTTTCATCAGTGCATTTCTTGTCTTTGAACTGATTCATTCTAACATCTATGCATCAAGATAACTGCTGTTGTGATTTAGGGCAATACAAAAATGAATTGAAACCCCCACAATGGACCACAACATTTTTGGGAAATTGCCGATTTGAGCTCTCCACGGCCCAAAGGAGCGCATCCAACATCCAAGACAATATTAAGTTAATGATTTATTGAGCTTTATTAATCTTGCACGTTCTGGACTGTGTGTGTGTGTGTGTGTGTGTGTGTGTGTGTGTGTTCATCTCTATCTATAAGCAATGAGAGAAAGATGGCTACTGTTTATTTTTTGTTATAGTTTGAGCTGCTTAATATACTGTACCGGTTCTTTTCATCCTGTCTTTTTTCTAAGTGTTCCCATCTGGGGTGGTGACACTTGAATGCAACATGACGACTTTATCCATGTAATGCTTTCTTCTGCGTCTGACAACTGCTTTGTGCCAGGGTGATTAAAACTATGACTGTGCTGCAAAGATTGACATTTGCATTTTCCTCTGAATATGGGTTAGGTTCTGCTTAATGAAGGTGCTGTCATATGTCTTTTCATTATTCAGTGTGAGGCTGCAGCTCATCAGCTTTGACACCATTCCTTGGAAAATGTAATATTGCCCATGCTTAAACCCATGCAACAAATAATTTGACTCTATACCAAATGTCAGTGCATAGCTTAGTGCAAAGTTTTTTTTATAGCAAAGTCTGTGGGTTAGATGATCATATTCGTATTTTGTTTAATCGTTGGCAGTCAGTTGGGAGTACTCTGAGCTGAAAGCATGCACGCATCTATCAGGTTGACTAGATTTTCAAATATTTGTGGCGGGGAAAAGGTACGATTTAAATGCACACATCATAGGAATAGAAAAATGTAATTGATTATAACTGATAGCTATAGCTCATAGACTGTATATACTGTAGATCAGGCATGTCCAAACAAAGAATTGCCCCCCGTTGTGTCATTTTTTGTGGTCCTCTGGCTTGCTCACACAAAGTACCATTGAGAATATAAACACAAGTTCATAGTGTCATCCAGCCAACTTCAGCACTAATTCCTGTTTTTATGTCCGTTTTGTCGGCCCCTAGACAACTCTGGTGAACTATAGTTGCCCTCTTACTAAAATGTTTGGACACCCCTGCTGTAGATGGTCAAAAGCTAACCTCCCGCTTTCTGGAACCAGTTGAGATGGCTCTGGCATCTGTTTTGGATGCCTCCTTGACCCCACCAGGATGAGATCCTGGGGAGGAACGATGTCTCTCAGCCTCAGGATTCCCTGGAGGGGAAGCTGGAGGAAGTGTGTGTAGATAGGCGTGGACCCCTGCCTTTGTGACCCAGTGTTCTGTCGAGATGAGCTCCCTCAGCTGTTTATGATGTAATGCAAACCTGCGCATGCGCTTCTCAAGGCAGCCTAAGCAATCCAAGATGGCGGACATGAATTCCGTGAGTTCTGTAAAAAGTTTAAATACGAACAAATAAAGACACGAATGTCACTTTTAATGCAATTTGAGGCGAGAGGTTGATGGTTCCGTGTTGTTATACGTGGGTTTTAAGAATCAAAGTTTTGTGTAAAGTTTGGTTTAAGAAGTCAACTGCTCCTGTGAAACCACACTGCTGCTGTGTGAGAGCAGTACCTTTCCTGTCGAGTTGAGCTGTTACTGACGTAGGCCGATGATGCGTCCTGTGGCTAACTCGACAGCTAACAGCCCAGTCGACAACCCGACTGGCCTGTTGGGTTGTTAATGGAAATAATAACCAAACTATAAGTTGGAAGCTATTAGAGGTCGGCATATTCACAATCTGCCGAAAACAGATTGTGAATATGCCGCTCAGTAGGTCCTGTTGATTTATTTGATACAGTATGTACATCTGATTGGGGTGAAGTCAGTGCCTCACCAACCACCAACCTCACCAACCTCTGTAAATGTTTAGTCTGATGTGAAATGGAAGGTGTTTTATTCAGCACACTGAAATCTTGGCCTTTTTCCGCAGTCATGGTGATCCCAGAAAAATACCTTTACTGTCGGATGCTACAAAATGTTCACTTCCTGCCACCTCAGCTGTGCCATAGTCTCCTCGTGGTTATATTTAGAATTTTGGAAAAGCATTGAGGCGAAATAACGATGATTGCCTGGCATTTACTGCAGCAACATGGTGCTGTCAGTCTCCCTCCTCCTCCTCATTCAGCTGCAAAGTCCCACAAGTGGATATGAATAATTAGATTCAGGAGCCACAGAGTAAACAACACGATCTTGCACTTAAGTAAATAATGAACCGGAACTCTCTCTCTCTCTCTCTCTCTCGGGAAACAAATGTATTATTGAAAAGCTAAGTCCAAACCTACTCACATCCCACCAATGTCAATACAAGAAGTAATGTATTAAAGAAGCTGTCAACAATATTGATTTGATGATAAAACTACTGCCCACTTCACAAAGTATGGATTGTATGTGATGGCAGGTTTCTACAACAGGGATTTCAATATTAATGATTTATTTTTACTTGATGAACCTAAAGATTATGACCTCGAGCAGGAGTTTTAATTCCCCACTGTGGGACAAATATTAATCTTAAATCTATATCTTTGATTGATTTTAGTTTGTTAGAAATATAACTTATGAGTGGATTGTAATAGTAAGTAAATAAAGAAATTTGATCCAGCTTGGGCCAAATGTCTTCATACAGAAGCTTGTTCCGATGGCATTAGCTTTGCGCAACGTGTGGACATGGCCTTACTTCTGGAGTAAAAGCTGAACAGAACACATGACACCAACACTTTGCTCTGACAGAAACGTTAATGCCAATCTATTATTTCATGGCCATAACCTGGATGTGAAAGCCTGAGTCTGTCAAATCTCTGAAACTAAGCGGTGCAGGGCCTTATTAGTGCTGTGTTCAGACTTAGATTCTGATTAATTTATTTTGCCATTTGCAGTATAATCACATTGGAATACATTTGCAAAAAAGTTCCCAGTGTGCACAAGACAAGTACATAAATAAAACAAGGTTAAAATGTGCAGGAAACAATTGTCACTGTGAAATCGGTCAACTAAAACAGTTTCAATACAAAGGCAAGATCATTAAAGTGCTCTGTTAACTGATAACAGCTTATGGAGAGAAGTTGTGAGCAAAACGAGATGTCCTGCATCTCAGCAGACTATATCTTCTGCCAAAGAGAAGAAGCTGGAACATGGCTTTTCCAGGGTGGCTTGAAGAGTCATTGATTATTTTACATGTTCGGTTTAAGAGTCTGGATTCATAAAGAACCTCCAGAGGCAGCTCACAGCTCACAGACTTCTTTCAGTTGGGAGCATCTTGTTTAGAGCTCTCCTTTCTTTGGCTGTGATGTCACCAAACCACACAGTCACATCCAACAAACAACGTTTCAATGGTGCAGCAATAAAAGTTTGGCAGATTCGTAGAGTTAGTGGTAAATTCTTTACGTTTTCGCAGAAAGTAGAGAGCTTTCTTAACAACCAGGTTAGTGTTTTTGTCCCATTTCAGGTTGTTAGACAGAGTTAAACCAAGAAACTTGCACTCCTCCACAATCTGCACCTGCGAGTTATCAAAAACTACAGGTGTGTGAGAACTTGTTACACCTAAAACCAAAGACCAGTTCACATGTTTTGGATGTGTTGGAGTTGGAGGTTATTGCCTTTACTCCTCTGAACCACACTTTGGATTTCTGCTCTGCTTCATTATCACTGATGAGACCAAAGATGACGGTGATATCAGCGTATTTAAAGATGAAGTTAGAGTCAGAGGAAGAAAGTACAAAGTAAAAAGCAGAGGACTCAAAATTCATCCCTGAGGCAATCACAGAAATCTGAAAAACAGTCATTGATTTTCAATCCAACTGAAATCCATCAGTCAAAAAGCTAAAAACCCACTTTCACACGGCAACGCTTAAACCGAGAGACATGAGTTTTTCAATCAGTTTACCCTCGACAAGGCAATTAAAAGCAGAGAAGATTTACTATTGTCCAAGTGACAATAAATCATTGTGTGACAGAAAATCATTGTGTGTGTTCTGTTAGTGTTATGTAGATGTTAAAATTTTCTTTCACCCAAATCTTCCGCTCGGCAAATAGCAGAGAATAATTACCATCAGAAGGGTTTTGTTTTTCTTATTTTTTTTACACATTTACACAAACAATACAATAAGAACATAAAGAGGCAGATAGATAACAAATTGACTGATGTTGACAAAAAACAAACAAAAATACATAATACTAATATCCTTGTTTGGTTATCGTTTTAACTGAGGAGGGTATTGTGTGTGTTTGTGCGCGTGTGTGTGTGTGTGTGTGTGTGTGTGTGTGTGTGTGTGTGCAAAAAATCATGCTTTAAAATAATATGTATAGTGGTATTTATTTGTTAATTTTCTTCTGCGACAAAGGACCCCCTCAATGGGGCTATTCCTAAATAAAAAATTCCCAAGTAAAACTGCAATATTTATGGAATCTGATTTGGAATTTAGATGTGGCTCATTCCTAATTTTCAAACGTGTTTACGGTCATCAAGAGAAGTTTGTGAGACGTTCAGGATATTAAACTGTAACTGCAAAAGTCCAATTAAAACATAATCGGCCTAAGTAATCTATCTATCTATCTAAAAATGTTTTTGTGTTGCGTTGCATCGTCTGGTCCTATTGAAATCTGTAAACACGCAGCTCGCAGATGTAAATAATGAGCACAGTCATTATTAAAACACTTATTAAAACTGATTGTGTTTGCACTCGACAAAGTAATCTATCTTCACGAGAGGATTCTGTCAAGCGCCCATGAGCCTCTTCGGTGTGTTTTTATCTGTGGAGAAGTGCTGTCCCTGCATTCAGCTTTAACCCTGCACATAATTGTTCCTCATTTGTGAAGAAGGAATCTGCAGTGGTTTGAACCTACACAAAAGTCAGCACTAATGAGTTCAGGAGGTTGGTGTTAGTCACTGCGCCTTTGAGACACAACAACATCCCAACACGTCAGCTCTGAGGGAAGCACGCATTACACTAGAAGCACCACTTGTCGTTTTAGTTTGTTGAATGAAAAATGTATTGTTAATGGACGGCTTTACACAGAGGCAAATCCCAAGACGAGTCATTTGCACAAGAATGGACAAAGATTACAGCATTTAAAAACAGAGAGAATGGATCATTACTAGTTTTTCTGCAGCCTGTTTATTGTTGCTAATGGTTTTCAAAAAATCAAATTGTTATGGTAGAAATTCATGTTTTGACTAAAATGGTTAGCTTGCAAATTGCTTCAAAGCTAAGATCCAATCTGAGTTGTCTTGATCAAGTCATCAAGAAAAAAACAAAACATATTTTTGCCTAATTAAAAATATACAATCTCAAATGGAAACCACTTAATAATGACATCAGGTTTTTTTAAGTTGCATGCAGTTTATTGTATTCTTATTGTCGAGAAATGACGACAAGGAAGCGGTGATTGTACCTTTACCACAGTTTATTTTCGAGTCCTTCCAGATCGAACAAAATCAGATGAGGCGCATGTCTGAGCAGCGTGTTTAGAATGCTATCTGTCAGAACAGTGGCTTGTGCTGGCAGTACGAAGGTCCTTTGAGCAGGAACCGGTCCCAAACCGGCTAGGATGGTTCACTGAAAGAAAGGGGAAAGCAGACATAAAATGTTAAATGTCAATCACACAGCCTTCCAGATTCAATATGTCCTTTATTAGATAATAAACACTGCTGACCTGACCTCACATGTCGTGCATCTGTGAAATAATTATAATGTGCAACATAGAACCACATGTGGCCACTGTCACTGAGTCACTGTGTCCCAGAGCCTCATGCTGCTAATGCACAGATGTAAACATACAACTATATATTTCTGCACTAGAATGTACAAAATGTTTAACCTGTTTATTTTTTATTATTTTTTACTTTATTTTTCTGAAGTTAGAGCTTTAGGACAAGAACATCCAGTATTTTGCGCTTTGCTTTAGAGAAAGTGGTTTGTTTAAGTTTTTCACATTACAAGGTCCTTCCAGATATAATAAAAATCCAACATTACTTGTACGATAATAAAACGTCAGCGATGTCAATGTTATAATACTTTAGTTTGTTATAATACTACTTACTTTAGTTTTTTTCCTCTGGAGATAATCAAGTCACGTAGAAGAACAAGAATGGATGATAAACACACAGGAGCAGGGGGATTCCTTGTGACTTTATAAACCATATGAAGTCGGTGCACTGGGGCTGAAGGAGAGCTTCAAAAAACAACAATGCAATAACTACAAACAAACAAACAAACAATGTTTTTTTTGTTTTGTTTGTATGTAGTTATTGTTCACAGTTATTGCCGTGTTCTCCTCATTCCTACTGCTCTGTAACTGCTGATGGGTCCACAGTGTTCACACAGGCTTATTGACTATGTAGAGAGTTCAAATAATTTCTTGTGGAGTAGTATAATACCCATTGGCACAAGGATTGAAGTGAATGTCAAATTAAGTAAATCGTTCATAATACATAATCCTCCATAATCCTCCTGTGCGGTGTACGGTTGTTGTAACAGTCTTAATCGGGGACACTCAATTCTAAGGGAGTACTAAAAAACATTTCTCAAAAAAGTCTTGATTTCGGGTTTTTTTGGAATGAAAAATAGAAGAAATTTCTACGTTTCATTCAGGTGGCCTGCAGGGGGCGCTTATCTGGGAAAGTCTTGATCCACCTCGCCCGCCTCATCCGAGTGATTTTTTCAAAGTGTCGGAAGAACACAGAAAAAACTCTTGTCTTTCTCTCTATTTGCGCGGTTGTTATGACCGTATTCCGCACTAAAAGATGGCATTTTGACAGCGCTTCTTCTTCTACTACATCTCTGTGTATAGTACGTCACGTCCTGTCCTACGTTTTTTATTCGCGCCACTGCCCTGACGTCATATGAAACCCAAGAATAAAGATTATTCTGACGGCTATTATCCTGATGGCAGGATGTGGACTTCCGACATTCATTAAACTAATCATGAAAGGAGATTGGCCTTTATTGACGATCAATCCAACATTGATAAAAAGCACTTTGGGTTGTGATGAAACTAACTGTTGTGTTTTCTGATGCAGGGTTCGGGAACATCTCCCCTCACACAGAAGGCGGTCGGATCTTCTGTATCGTCTATGCGCTGCTCGGAATCCCCCTGTTCGGCTTCCTGCTGGCTGGAGTGGGAGACCAGCTGGGCACTATCTTTGGAAAGGGCATTGCCAAAGTGGAGAAGATGATCGTGGTAAGTGTTATTTTTACCCGCAGTTTGATAAATAGTTATATAAATGAACCTATAAACAATGAACAACATACAAAATGAAAAAGGTACACAACAGAGGATGGACAAAGCAGACTCACTCATTCAACACAACCCAACACACTCACACACACCCGATACAAGCACAACCCACACACAACGGCACAGGGGATAGCACTCTCGCTTATCAGCCAGGGTTCGGGTCCTGGGTTCGAATCCCGGTCGGAACAGGGCCTTTCTGATTGGAGTGTTCATGTTCTCCCCGTATCTGCGTAGGTTTCCTCCAGGTGCTCCGGTTTCCCCTACCACTAAAAACATGCAAAACGGGTATGAGTGAGTGAATGGATGGTGTTTGGTCGGAGGCAATAGGTTCGGCAACTCGCTTCCCTCATCACTGTGTGTGGAGAGAATGAAAAATATCTGAACAGTGCTTTGGGTGACCTTGGTCTGTAAAATGCGCTATAAAAATAAACATTTCTTACTTACTTTCAACAGAACGACAAGATACAAGCCCAAACACACTCTGACCACACACCTCCCAGCACAAATAGAGCACATTTTAGTTGCATGAGGTCAGTGTGGCAATACTGTATAATGTTTATGCAGAGAATGGGTATATTACAGCAAATCTACAGGATGTAAAAGTCGTCAAGAAACCCGAGGACAAGAACATCCAGTATTTTGCGCTTTGCTTCAGAGAAAGTGGTTTGTTTAAGTTTTTCACATTACAAGGTCCTTCCAGATATGATAAAAATCCCACATTACTTGTACAATAATAAAATGCAAGCAATATCAATGTTGTAATAACTCGAAACAAGTCAATTGATAGCCCCGTTTTTGCTCTATAAACACTATTGTCCATGTACTTTAGTTGTTTGCCTCCGGAGATAATCAAGTCACGTAGAAGAACAAGAATTTATGATAAACACACAGGAGCAGGGGGATTCATTGTGACTTTATAAACCATATGAAGCCATGGCTCGGTGCACCGGGGCTGAAAGAGTACTCCAAAAAACGACAATGCAATCAAACAGCTGCACGGCACACAGCTCTGTAAAGATAAAACAGGAGCTATGGCCGCCTTCAAATTGCCCTTTTGCAACACTGTTTGAATTCAATAAAATAGATGGCATTTTTAGAGTCACTATACAGACAACATTTGGCCAGTATAGCAATAAACAATACTACTTAGAATGTGGCCCATATTTGCCAAGATGGGGGATTGTGTATGCAAAAAAACATTCAACAATTTACTGCTTTGCCCAGAATTCTTCCATTGTTTTTCTATATTGAATATTTTTACGGCTAAACTGAGTAACGTACTTATTTTGAGCGTAAATTTGTATAACTTGATTGTGTAGATATGGGACAGTATCCTGTAAGCCTGTAACACTTAGCCCCCAAGCACTCATTACTGATGCAATCCACCTGCTGGAGTTTAGCTCAAAGCAGTACAATCTCTGTTTGTCGCACATGACCACGATTAGATAGATAAAAGGATAAAAGGATGCCCAGCCTAGAGCCCTGCACTTGAGCCCTTGGCCCGAGGGCCCCGACGGCCCGACAGCCCGAGGGCCGGGCTTCGGGCCGATGACCGCATAATGACCTCGGACACGGGCCGGGCTCGGGCTCTTCATTTTCAGAGCGGCAGAATAGATTTACGAGCGCACCCACTGAATATAGCGTTCTATCACGCTGTAGTGTTTGTTGTTCTGTGTAGTGTTGTCATTGACGGCACATAGCATTACTTATGTAATGTGCAGATGTGTTGCAGCATCGGGGGCATCATACAGATGCGGCCGTTCACTCTGCACCACTCCGCACACACAGAACTCATTGCAACACATCACTACCATGTATAACTCCGCCCTCTAGCTAAGTCTGCGTTCATATCAGTGCGCTGCACTATATACTACGCTAAAACATTGTTATGGGAGGTTACAAAAAAAAAAAAAAGGCGGGCTTGATGCGGGTTTCGGGCCTGAAAATTCAGAAACCATATCGGGCCGGGCCGGGCTGGGGCGCCACCCCCTCGGGCCAGGGCCGGGCTCGGGCCCAGATAATAGGCCCGTGCAGGGCTCTAGCCCAGCCCACATGGGCTTATAAGACCCCATTTACACAAATACTGAGACACAGGCCAACATCAGGCACTTAAACAAAATCAAACACAAATGCTCTCATTTAAATAGATGAGACTGCAGCTTCTTCCAGGCTTTACTTAAAAATGAAGACACTTCAAATACTTGATTTTCAAATAACAATTTCCTCTTGTCATCATCGCTGCCCCAAAACAAATCAGGATCCCGGGAGAACGTTTCATGAAACAGCACGTTTCTAAATTCATCATAAAAAGGACAGTATAATATACTGTAAAAATGCACTTGACTCTCCACTTCATTGAGTTCACAAAATACACACAGTCTCTTCTCCTCAGGGGTCTGTGAAAACCTCCCCGTTTCTAAAGCTAATGGAAGAAGTTCGGTACGTAACTGAGCCATCAAAGATCTGATTCCTGGACAAATTTGCTGTGAAGAAAAAACTCACAACATTTTCTTTTAACTGAATATATGTTGTTAGTTTAGGTTTTGTCAAAATTCCAATTTACCACTGTTTTTCAAAATTGGCCAATAATTTTGCTCTAATGCTGCTGACGCTGCATGGTACATTGTTATGAAAGACATATTGGAGTTGTGCTTCAGCAAACAAAGATCGAAGCTCTGCGGCGAAGGGTGACATGGCTTTGCTCCCCTAGCACTATTATTTGTATCTGCATTCATTTAAACGTTTAAATGTGTTCAAATGCATTTTTTTGTTTGTGACATCTGCTGAGAGAGGGATCCAAAACCAGCCAAATTAAACCCAACCAAACTGGCAACCCAAATGAGAGCCTCGATCTGCTCTTTCATCGGATAATCTGCTTCCAAACAGTAAACATACACAATCCTTGACGTCATGTACGTTGTGTTTTTGAATAAAGAATAGCTCCAGTTTAAACTTAAATATGTCGTACATGAGACCTGTTATCTGGGGATACATTTCGTAGATGTAAGACTAAATTGAAATAAGGTCCTTTTAAATGCTATAGAATTCCAGCCAAAGCTTTCCCGTAGAAACAGATATGGCAGACTCCCAACAGGAAATGTTTAAATTCATCTGAAAGACACTGAATCACTATCAAAAGATGTAGTCATATGTCAAGAATGTGAAATCCACCTAAAATTTCTTATTCTTCCACATCAGACCTCCTCTCCCTTTATCCCTCTCAGCCTTCTCGCATTTGTCATTCACTAAGTTATTCAGGCATGGCGGTCCTAAGACAGCAATTTTTCACAGCTTTGATTTCAAACTGCGTAAATCTTTTGCAGCTGAGCACGGTTGAAGCTGTTTTTCTCCGAGGGTTATGTGAGGTGCTGTTGATTTCAAGGCAAAGTTATGTTTCTGTCTTTTACCTTCCAATATTCTCCGTCTACCTGTCTCACGCTGACAATTGAAGTACCTGAAATCAAACCGAGCGAGAACAAGGTCTAAGAGATCAATGGGTTCTTTAAAGTTGACTATGTGTCCAATGTCACTGGTACAACATCTTGGCGGTTCCAAGATAAGATAAACTTGATCTCACAACGGAGACATTCGCACATACTATATTTTGAGCTTTGGTCTTTATTGGCATGTGCTTGAGATATAGTGTATTGCTCAAAGTGGTCAGCTCCTGCGGTTGTGGGTTTGATTGCTCTGTCTTGCTCTTTGATTCACCTTTTTTTTTCTCACAATCACTATCTGTAAAATACAATTGTATTATTATTATTTGTATTACTTAGAGAATAAGTCAAAGGCAGGGCATTCTGGTTTTAATTTGCCAACACGCTGTTTTCATCAGGGCTTGTAAAGGTATTGGTTAATTATCATTATTATGACTAGATTAACTTAATATATGTGTATAAGTGTGTGTGTATATACTGTGTGCATATATGTGAAAACCTCCTAAAAATAATATAAAACATAGCTGATGAACATAGTTTTCTAGTAAAGTATGTAGTTCTTAAAAACACTGGCGTACACAAAAGTCTTGATGGATGTCGTCTGTCGCTGGATGACTTTAAAAAAGCTGCAGATGGTTGTACTTTGTGACAAACCTTCACCTCTTGTTATAGCTACTGTAGTGCTGTGTGCAACTTTTCCTGGTCCACTGGAGCTGAAACACTGTCTATGGCTCACGGCAGGTGAAAAAAAAGCGATAGAGATGTATTGCTTTGTGTTGTGCGTCTCGGGGGGAATGAGGAGCAGGGCGACATCTGGTGCAAAAGGTCCAACAAATGAAGCGTGTTCTCAGCTGAACAGAAGAGTGTAGTAGAGATGTAGGATTAATATAGTAGCATTATCCCAGTGGAATAAATTAATGTTTGCACAGACCATCCAATTCACGGCACAGCGATAGTGTTGGAACGTCTGAATGTGCTGTTACTGCCAAATAATAACGCTTAGGTAACGGTTATTGCTCCCCACATGCCCAGAGGCTTTACAGTCCAGTTCCTGCTTCAGCTGTACTCCAAGCTGTTTACCTATTGTCCCTGTGCTCAGGTTTCTGCACTAGCTCTGTGTGTCTCAGAGATGTTCAGCCAGATTTAGGCAGATGAGTGATGTATTTACTTTCACAATATACTAAAAACACAAGGCTGGGAGTTGAAGACTTTATATTGTAGCGATCTGTTAGTGCCATATGATCCAGCTCGAACTCTGAGGAGCACAGGGACTGGCCTCCTGCTGGGAGTCGGAGGAGCACAGGGACTGGCCTCCTGAGAGTGTGCAATTGAGAACAGTTTATGAGTTAATACAATATCATAGGGTGTCATTATTTGTTCTGTATGTAGCACATTTGACAGACCAAGGTCACACAACGCGCTTTACAATTCTTGTCATATCATGGGGTAAAACTGTAGAACAAACCAAGGAGATTAAAGCATTATTTTATATGTTGTGTATAAAGG